GCGCTTATAAGCACCTTGCTAGATAGGATAGCAACCTGCCGAACCAGGATACCTAAACGCCCCAAACCAGATACGCATGATAGCAGTAACCTACTTGTAAGACACCCACAACGCCTAGGCATGATAGCGATCTTGCATATCCACATATATGTTCCCAAAGGCGTATGATATTGAGGATGGGCAGGATGGGCAGGTTACAAGTACGTTACAAGTGAGTTGCAAGCTACATGCATCCACTTACAAATGGCCCATCCGCTAAGCAAGTCACGCGGGCATCCAAGTACATCATCATATCACGGTCCATGCGCCGGAATGGCGCCGGAATATGTCGCGGCCATGCGCCGGATTGGCGCCGGATTGGCGCCGGAATGGCGTTGTCTTGGGTTGAATGCATTGGCTCATGCGCCGACATGCGCTGGATTGGCGCCGGAATGGCGCCGGCTTTTGCTGCGTGTAAAGCAACATGCGCCGACATGCGCCGACATGCGCCGGATTGGCGCCGGAATGGCATTGGCATTTGAGCTGCATGCATTGGCGCATGCGCCGACATGCGCCGGATTGGCGCCGGAATTGCGCCGACATCCATTCGCCGCAGTCGCTCTATCCATAGAGCCCATGCGCCGACATGCGCCGGATTGGCGCCGGGTTGGCGCCGGATTCCGCTCTATCCATAGAGCCCATGCGCCGACGTGCGCCGACATGCGCCGGATTGGCGCCGGGTTGGCGCCGCCTCGGGCTGAATGCAAACAGCCCATGCGCCGGATTGGCGCCGGGTTGGCGCCGGATTGGCGCCGGATTGGCGCCGGATTAGGCGCCGGGTTGGCGCCGGATTGGCGCCGGATTGGCGCCGGGTTGGCGCCGGGTTGGCGCCGGATTGGCGCCGGGTCGGGCGCTGGATCCCATCGTCATTATGTTGATGTGCATATCATGCTTTCATGATGAGAAAACATACATATATCATTGAGATCGCTCGTCCTAGAACGTTTGGGGTTTGGGGGCCGTGCCTCTTCGGACTGCTCGCATTCGCTCGTTGCCCTCCCCGGGCGAACGCGCGCCGCAGGACGATGGCTGACCGCGTCGTGACGGATGCCGAGTGCGAGCGCGCGTACCAGGAGTACGACTTGAGCGAGCTCGTGGACCAGGCCAAGGAGGCGCCAGCCCCGGCCCAGAATTCTGTCGGACTTGGCCCTACGATCCCCGGGCGAGCTTTTGAGGCGGCCCCGTGTTTCCAGGATTTTTGAAAGAAAGGCCCCGTGTTTCCAGGATATTTGAACGAAAACCTGGTCCTGGTCCTCGCCCTGCGTTCGTGCCTGGTCTGGTCCTGCGACTGGTGCCCTGGGTGAATGGGCCCTGGGTCCTGCAGTCAAGACGCTGAAATAAGAGCCACTATGGATTCGAAATGGACTCGCTGTTCCTTAGTCCTGAGGTCATGCCCACGGTTGTTCCTCTAGCCCTCCTCGTACGCCCGTGCGCTTCTGGGCCCGAAACAGGTAGTTCTTTCCTTATTTATGCGTTCCATCGCGCAGACAAGTGCGAGGGGAGGGTCGCGTGGCGTGTGTGTGGGGGGGGGGCAGGTCGGGCGGGTCAGAGCTGGTTTAACACCCATCGTTGCGTAGCCTTCAGACTTAAGACTTAAACTTAAGACCATGCCCCCCCCCCCCCGGCACACGCGAAGCGTGCGTGATCTGATCCGGCGTCTCTCAGCGAGTGGCGAAGGCGAAGGCCGTGAATCCTACGAGAGATCGAAGCGGCCCCTGGGGTCGCTCAGAACAAAACTTGGTGGCGCCTGGATTTCCGGCTTCGTGGGCGCCCATATTAGGCCCTCATTGCACACTTATTCTAATCTCAGCCTGATCCCCTAAGCCGACCAAGACCTACAACAACAAAGGGTTCTGCGTGGGGGGAGGGGGGGGGATGAGAGGACGAGAAACGGAAATGGCGAGGGCGATGTGGCGTGTCGGGAGAAGAGGGGAAGTAGGAGAGGGGAGAGGAGGAGAAAAGCAGCATCAACATTAAGCATCAACGTCGGGCGGCATCAGACATGGCCAGGCATCCAGCATCAATGAACAACAGAAATCGTGTCCCACAGGATCCCTGCAACGACGACGACAAGTCGGCCAGTGAGAAAGATGAGGAGGAGGAGCCAGATGATATGTCCCAGTGCTCATACGAGGTCAACATCCCAGACCCTGAGTTGATTTCGGATCTCAATCCTCTTCCTGATCAGTGGTGCTCTTTCTACGGTGAGTTGTTCCAGTCAAACTGCGCGGATTTCAAGAAACCACAGGTCCCGAATGGCACGTTCAAGATTGTGACATTGTGTTCTGGCACGGACGCGCCGGTCTGTGGGATGCAACACCCAACTTCCTCTCTTCCAATCCGGCTTCTTCTTGATTATCTTGTCCTCATCCACAGACCTATATGTGTATACACATATGTACTTATTCTGCATTATACAGGTGTGCGCGGTATGGGCAAGTTGTGTATGTATGCATGCATGCATGCATGCATCTATCATCTACATCTATGCATGTATGTATGTATGAATGTATGTATGCATGTATGTATGTACGTAAGTATGTATGTATGTATGTATATTGGTGTAATTGTATATACATACATATATATATATATATATATATACACATGTGTATATATGCGTGTGTGCCTGTGCGCGTTATAAAGTTATACTCACGTCTGTGAGTTGAAGCCGCAGGGGGAATCATTTCCCCCAGCCCTCGGAGGCCCATCAGCGGCCGGGGCCCGTCGCCCTCGGCGCCCGTTGCCGCCGCCCCCCTGAGCACTCCCCAAAGGCGCCCTGGAGGCGCCCTCCCTTGGAAACCCCATCTAGAGGTCCACGCGACCGAGATCATCTTTGAGCAATTCCTGGGCGGCAAGGACTTTAAGCATGTGGCAGCTGTCGACACGGATCCGGACTCCCAGAGGTTCATCACCTTGAATTTCGCCCCAGCCCATTACTTCAGACGCATCGGGTTGCTCGGATGTGACAAAGCCCAATACTCGACCAAGCTGGCTGGTTGCCAGCAGTGCGGAGACGAACCCTGCGGCAGCTACGATGACATGATGAACTGCGACATGATGATTTGCGGCTTCCCATGCCCGCCGTTTTCGGCGCTCAACGCTGCCGTCCACGATCGTGGATATCGATTCTGGCAACATCCGCAGGGAGGTGTCATTGTGGATCTCGCGTGGTGGGTCAACGTGACTATGAATGGCGTTGGGCCCAAAATCATTATTCTGGAGCAAGTGCCCGGCATCAAGAACACGAACAAGTCTTCGGGGCACGCGCCGCTGAAATACATCCTTGAGGGCGTGGCTTTCAACTACAAGCGGAACGTTGCCGATGACGCCATTGATTTCAAGTATGGGTTGAAGCATTGGAAGGAATATGTTTTGGTTAAGGACGCAGACCTCGACTACTTCGTTGTCAACGCTCGTAGCATGGGGCTACCGATTTTACGCACGAGGTTGTTCTTTATCTTGGTCCGCAAAGACTTCTACGAAGATAGCATCGGCGTCAACATCCGGGACATGCTGAACATCGCCCAGATGCACCCCTTGCGCCGGATGAAATTGCAGGACTTCGTCGAGGAAACGCCCCCTCTTCAAGCTACCAAGAGAAGGAGATCGACTGCTAAGCCAATGTCGGACGTCGCCGCCAAGCAGTCCAATGAGTACCGTGCCGCCTTCAATCTTCCCCACCTGAGCGATGGGATCCAGTCTAAGATAGCAGTTGCAGATGGCGAGCTCCCTGCGCGCGAGGCGGACATCGTGAACGTGTTGGGCTTCTCCACGAGAAGAACAATTGGGACCCATGCCATGGGCACTGGCACCAAATTGAGAGACTGCGGCAGGGAGACCTGCACTGGTGATGGAGCCTTTCATTGGTCCTTGGCGATTGGTCTAGCGACCTGTGGGCTCTGCCACCGATCCATGACTCTCTGCCGCCCTCTCCCAGATCAGTGCTGATGCCCATGGCAATTCTGGACCAGGACAAGATCGACGACCTGGTCGTTGACCTGAGCCAGAGCCTGAAGCGCAAGGGCTGGACGTGGACTGGCCTTCTGCCTCAATTGAGGACGCACTCGAAGTTCTGGACGCCCGCCGGCCTCGTGAACGACCACACCCTGTTCAAGGCCATGGGGTGGCAGCGCAGAGTGGATCTCACCAGCGTCAAGCAACCCAGGAACCTCCTGGGCAACATGGTCGCCGTTCCATGCGTCGGCATCGTCCAGCTGGCCATCCTGTGCAGCGGCATCGAGCTGTGGAAGGGCCCATCCTCGAGGCCGAGTGGAAGCGGCCTCGCTGAAACCTCGCTCTCGCGTGGCTAAAGCACGTGTTGCAATGGCAGTGGCTGGCCAAGATGGCGAAGTCAAGTTTTTTTCGGGTGGGCTAGCAGGTGGGGGGAAGAAGAGTCTAGGTCCTAGGTCCAGGTGTCTAGGTGGAATGGAGGATGGATCGGCTGGAGAGGGGCACTCGTAGGTGGCACTTTTGGGCCGCGTTCAGTCCCCTCGTTAAAAGGGGGGCGGCTGGCTCCCAGCTAGCAGAACGTGAGCATGAGTACATACATCAAATGGGAGAATCCTTGAGTATATGTCGTCAGTCAATCAGTCAGTCAATCAATCCTCCTCCTGTTCCTCCCTCAGCCGCTAGCCCCTGGCCTGTATCATATCATATTCGGATATCCTTCCTCCTCCTCCTCCTCCTCCTCCTCCTCCTCCTCCTCCTCCTCCTCCTCCCCCTCCTCCTCCTCCTCCTCCTCCTCCTCCTCCTCCTCCTCCTCCTCCTCCTCCTCCTCCTCCTCCTCTCCTCCTCCTCCTCCTCTCCTCCTCCTCCTCCTCCTCCTCCTCCTCCTCCTCCTCCTCCTCCTCCTCCTCCTCCTCCTCCTCCTCCTCCTCCTCCTCCTCCTCCTCCTCCTCCTCCTCCTCCTCCTCCTCCTCCCGGCTGAGACAGGCGGGCCGAGGCTGGCGGGGCCGGTCCTGGCCGCTTCTTTCCGGGCCTGCTTGCCCAGGCCTGCCGCGGCGCGGGCGCGGTGAGGCCCGACGAAGTAACAGGCCCGACGAAGTGTCTGGTCTGGTTGGTCCTCCTCCTCCTCCTCCTCCTCCTCCTCCTCCTCCTCCTCCTGGTCTGGTTTGGTCGTCCTCGAGTCGCGCCATGGGTGGTGGTGGCGACGGTGGGAGGGGCTGCGAAAGGTAAAGGGGCGGGCGGGCGGAGGGCGGAGGGACCCAGGATCCCCCAGCCAGTGCCCCTCCCAACCCCATCACCCCACCACTCAAGGCTGGCTCGGGGTCGCCCTGCGTCAGGCCCAACATCGCCCGTCTCCGTTTCACGCTCGTCTCGGGCTCCGCCACGGGAAGCCGTAACGGGTGACACTTGGTGCGTGTGCGCGTGTGCTTTTTAGGACCTAGTCATGTTTTTTAGGGCCTCAAGGGCCCGACGGATTTTGCAAGTTTCTGCAACATCCGTCCGGCCTCAACCTGGCCGCAAGATGGCTCCAATACGGTTCAGACAGGGCCCGAAGGGCCCGATGGATTTTGCAAGTTCCTGGCGGCGGGCCCGCGCCGCGCCAAGCTCACTCCCAGCCTTGCCACCATGAGCAGCATCCTCCTTTCTCCTCCCTCCTCCTCCTGCTCCTCCTCCTCCTCCTCTCCCTCCTCCTCCTCCTTTTCCTCCTCCTCCTCCTCCTCCTCCTGCTCCTCTTCCTCCTCCTCCTCCTCCTCCTCCTCCTCCTCCTCCTCCTCCTCCCCTCCTCACAGGCAGAGGCAGAGGGCCTCCTCTGGTGGTCGAAGGGTCCGTCCCCCCCCCCCTGAGCCTCTGGCAACTCCTCCTCCTACCCTCAGTCTAAGAGACTTTCATTTTTGGCCGTTGGCTTACTGCCGCGGCGAGCCCGCCCGTCCCCTCGCCCTGGGTCGCCGCCGCCACCGGCCCGGCGCACGCCGTGCATGACGCGTTCGCGGTCGAGAAGCTTAGCGGCGACGAGGCATCGATATCTCCCCCCCCTTTTCCCCTTCAGATTCCCCCCCTCGGACTCCTTCGTAGGAGCGCGTCCTCTACCCCGCCAACTATTCCTGCTGATCTTGGCGTTCGTCAGGGCGATGGCGAGGACTGTGTCCAATCTACAACACGCTTCATCGCCATTTTTCCCGGAAAGGGCGCCGGCCCAGGGTTCTCTTTTAGTTGGTAAAGCCTGTCCCCGGTGCCTCAACTGAGGTGGGCCGGCGGATTCTTTCCCTGATAAATATCGAAGTCGAGGTGGGCCGGCGGATTAAAATTTGAGGATACCTCAGGCGAAACGCTTGTTTTTGAAATCCCGATCGATAAGTCACAGGGTGCGGGCCACTCTTCTTTCGTGTGTTGAGGATGTCTCGAGCGAAACGCTTGCTCCGCAGAGTTACCGAGGATGTCTCGAGCGAATCGATTGCTTTGTAGAACTTGGGTGGTCTGGGAGCCCCAGAGATTTGCCTTCTCCAGGTGCACGAAGCAGTGTTTTTACGTATGTGCCTGTAGATTCGCCCTTTTCCAGCACGACCACACCCCAGCATTGCCCCACCCCAGCACGACCCCACCCCAGCAAGACCGTCACCCAGCACGACCACACCCCAGCACGACCTCACCACAGCACGACTACACCCCAGCACGACCACGCCCCAGCACGACCACGCCCCAGCACGACCACCCCCCAGCACGACTACCCCCCCAGCACGACCACCCCCCAGCACGACCACCCCCCAGCACGACCACACCCCAGCACGACCACTCCCCAGCACAACCACACCGCCTTGGTTGCGTGGTTGCCTGTCGTCGTGGAATGTTTCGTGGGGTGTCTCTTGGACTGTTTCGCGGGGTGTTTCGTGGAATGTTTCCAGGAAAACGTTGAAAACGGTCGCCCGTGTCTCGTGGAATGTTTCGCGGGTTGGCTCGTGGAAGTGCCTGTCGCCCACTACGGTGTCGTGAAAACGTTTCCATGCATGCGGTTCTATATCCCTTTCCAGGTTCGTGGGTCCATCATGTTCCTCCCTGGCCCCGTCCTCCTCCTCCTCCTCCTCCTCCTCCTCCTCCTCCTCCTCCTCCTCCTCCTCCTCCTCCTCCCAGGACAATGACTTCACGCAGTGGGACTTCGTGGAAAGCTCTCTAGAGGCACCATCACCTGCCCACACTGCTCTCACGGCTTCCCTCTTCTCCCACCTCGCTCTCCTCATTCACCCGCTGCCGTGGGAGGCCGAACCAGAACTTCGCAAGCAGCTCATTCATACATCGGTGGCGATGCTTAGGGCGTCCAAGACCCGACTCCTGGAGGCCGTCGATGCGGCCATCGAGACCGCCCAGGCTGCCTCCTCGACTCATCTCTCCTTCTCCCTGTCCTATGGGAGGGGGGATGGGGGATCTAGACGTCTGGACTCTAGACTTCTCGACTCTAGAATCTAGGGTCTTGGGAGGGGAGGGGGGTGGACCAAGAGGTGATCAGTGATCCGTGATCCTGGATCCTGGGTCCCTCATCCTGGCATCCTTCTCCTCCTCCACCTCCTCTTCGGTCGCCGAATCGGGCGACGACGCGACCGAGCAGATTGGTCAAGTCGCGAATTGAGCACGCCGGGGGCGGCGTGGGCCGCGTTGATTCTAGATGCACTGGTGGCCAATTCTAGATGCGTTGGCCCGAGTTCCCAGCATCTGTAACTAATCACCCCTCTAGATCGTCATCGTCGGCTCTCTGACCAGGACTCTTCGCCCCCACCCCCTCCCGCCATCTCCCCCTCGCCCTGCCCCACCCCCAACTTAGACCCTGCCTGTCTGTCGGCTGTCTTTGTTTCCACGGCTGGGCGCTGCTCATTAGATGGAATGAGGTGGCGGATGGCCCCCGAGAGGACCTCTGGATTGCCTCGTCTTCAAAAAGATATAGATGGATCCAAGACGGCTCCAAGAAACCCCCAAGGCCCCCAGAAGGCCCCGAATCCGACGGCGACAAGATCATCCAGGAGGCCCCTGCCGGGTGATCCTGTCGGCGTCGGATTCGGAGTCTTCTAGGAGCCGTCTCGGGTGGGTTTTGGGCCCCCATTGGGTCCATCTGACTGCCCTGGGCAGGGCCCTAGGCTCTACGATGGAACATCATGGTTACATAACTTACCACCCAAGTTTCTATCAGCTGCCGACGGAACGTAATTTGCCCAACTTTGTACCATGAACAATCGACGCAACATACTTCCGTCGATTGCTGATGCAAGTGTTTCCTGGGGGAATACAAGAGAAGGCCTCTGAGAAGGGGGCGTTTCATGTTTAAATCCCTCGACAGCTTGTGCCAATACGGTTACACAAGCATGCGAACGTAGTCAGATCAAACGTTTCTCCTGCAATGCGGAACGCCGGTTTAGGGTCGCGCATCGTTTGCATCAAGTCGGGTAAACTACGTTCCGCCGACTGCTGGAACAAAACTGGGTAAACGTATGTTCCATCGGCTGCTGATGCAAACTTTGATAAATTAGACTGCCTTGGGCCCTGCCTAGGTGCACCCGGCAGGGGCCTCCCGGGCGATCCTGTCGGCGTCGCCTTTGGGGCCCTCTGGGGGCTATCTTGGAGGCCCCTTGGAACGGTCTTGGACCCTCTGGGAGCCGTCTCCCTCTCGGGCGTTTCCTGGGACCCTCTCCGACCAAACGCGGAGGGGCCCGAACGACTCACTTCCGAACGAACATTGAGGGGGCCAAACGACTTACCCGAGCCGCGACCCAGCCACGACCCACCCGCGACCCGCGACCCTTCGGCGCTGACAACAACAACCACAAGAACAACAACCAACACTGTTAGGACCAATACCCAATACCATTAAGCGAAGGGTTCGTCTTCTCTTGGACCCAATGGCCCAAGAAGCCTCAACGCCCTGCCGTTCGCAAGAGAGGTTCCGTGACACTGTCGTGCCCTGCCACCCGTGAGAAAGAAACAACACAACAGCAGCAGCAACAACGTACATACATACCCACACACATATCTACATACAGACTTACATACTACATACATACATACATACATACATACATACATATACATCCATCCATCCATCCATCCATCCATCCATCCATCCATCCATCCATCCATCCATCCATCCATACATACATACATACATACATACACATGCACAACAGCTACAACGACGACAACAACCAACAACAACAATAACAACATACACAACACCAACAACAACCACCAATCGGACCAATCTCAGCAACAACAACAACAACACCCAGGGAAACTGTAAGACCGTTTGGCTCCCTCTCAAAAGGAGTCTGATTGGCTGATTGGCACTGATTGGAATAGGATTGCAGTCACATAACATACGGATTGGAGTCGCATTGCACGCAGGCGTTTTGCCCAAACATTCTGGAGGAGCCAGGTCCTGCGAGTGTCCGTGGTCTCCTGCTGCGCGGTGCCTGCAGCTTGTTGCAATGGCCTCTGATGACGAGCTCGGGAATCTGGCTGTGTCCCGGCCCTCTGACGACGAGAAGCCTTGCCTGGCCTCCGACTCAGGGGACTCCGACGTCGAGATGACTTGCATCGGGTGTGGCACCAGCTCCAAGGCGATGTGCCCGGTGAAGACGAAGCAGTTCAAGGGCAAGATTACGCCGAGCAAGTTGAACCGGATCTCCTGGGGGAAAACCACTAAGCGTGGAGGTGCTCGGGCTCGCATATCTGGAGAATGGTGCCGAATTTGCGTGAACATCGCCAACCAATGGGTTGCCAAGAAGAAGCGGTATTCGAGCAAGAAGGGCGGCAAGGCCAACAAGGGAGGGAAGATGGGCTTGTCGTTGCTCAAGCAGGACCTCGTGAACCCCAGGGACAAGTCAGTGAAGAAGCGCTTCAAGAAGAACTGGAAGGAGTGGGTCAATCAACGCGCCCTCGGAAAGGTCAAGGTTTCGGTGTCTGGCGAAGAAGTGACCCATAAGAAGTCTGTCATCGAGGACATCCTTCCCCCGAAAAAGCAGTTCTGGACGCTGAAGAAGTACAAGGATCGTTTCGGGGACCCTGAC